TATCATCACTAGGGGGTGAGGAACCGCGCTAGCGTGGTGTGTAATTTATAAGGAACCAAGCTCGGTGTAAAAACTAAAATATTGGAAAGCACAAGAAATATGTTTTTAGAGCTGTTTTTCCTTTAATTAGCTCGGAAACAAAATTTTTTATTATCACTTTTTTATTTATTTTTTTTTTTACATCAAATAATACCCTGCAGAAAAAAAAAATCCCTGCTTCAGTTATATAAATTGTTTTATTTTTTTTCTCCTTATTTTAAAAGAATCCAAATAAGTTCTTGGTTATTTAATGTTATCACATATCATTACGACGGAGTATTAGATTTTTTTATTTTATTTTGAGAATAAAGTTGTAATATTACAAGAATAAAGTCATAAAATTACGAGAATAAAGTCACAACAAGAATAGTCATATAATTAAGAGAATAAAGTTGTAAATTTACGGGAATAAAGTCGTAATATTACAAGAATAAAGTCGCAAAAAGAATAGTCGTAATATTATGAGAATAGAGTCGTAAAATTATGAGAATAGAGTCTTAACATTGCGACAAAGTTTTTTTTTTTTAACTCTTCCCAGAAGCCCTGTCTTCCCTAAAATAAGGAATGTTGAGCATCATGTGAAGTTATTCTTTAGCATCGGTTTGACAAATCAGGAAATCTTTTAGCTTTTAGCAGCATTTAAAATGGCAACAGATTTCTAATGGTAGATGTTTAACAAAAATAAAAGGCTGTTTTTTTAAAATAAAAAAAATCATGTCATATTTTGTGTCTGATCTCCGATCTCTGCTGATCCTGACTGCCGCTCAGGTTTCAATCTTTGCAGCGGCTCAAGTCTTCAGCACAGTTCTATAAACCAGGAGCAGTTTCTACTTTCAGTTTTTCTCTGCTTTGCCGGAGTTGGATGCTGAGCTAAAGGTTGGATCCAGATCCAGGGCACTGAGCCTCTGAAAGGGCCGCTTTATGGGTGCTGATGAGGACAGCGGAGCTGGAAAATCTGGGGTTGGAGGGGGACAGTTCTGTCTCTGTTTCTCTGAAATACCGTCTAGGGAAAAGAAACGGAACGGTTATGAACAGCTGGAGGAACTCCTTGTTTCCTCTTTCCACCTGGCAAGGCTCAACAATTTCAGTCATAAAATACACATTTCATGAAATAAGTTGTTTTTTATGTTCCGTGGCTATAAAATACCAGAAGTAATTTGTTTTTGCACTGAACCACAACAAATATTTTCCATCAAGACGTCTCTGTCGGCGGGAAGTCGTTTCTTTTTAGTATCCAGCCTTTTAGAGCTGGCTGCACAAATCTTTCCTATTCAGGTTCGGGGAACTTTTCCTGAGCAAATAATGAATAATCAACCAAACATCTAACATCTAAATGTTTCATTCATGCGGAGTCGGAGCAGGGAGGGAAAAGCAAATAAAAGCTCCTCACACCTCAACTTTTAACACACCTCTGGATTCAGAGCTGGTTGCTATGCGTGCTGTTAAACCGCTGCATCACGGGGACAGACTGTCCTCCTGGTGACCTCCGCCAGGAGATCACTAATCTAGGTTTAGGTGTTAAGTTTAGGATAAAGGTGTGAATGGAGTTTTGGTTTGGGTTGGGTATTATAATAATAATAATAATAATACATTTTATTTTTTTTGCTGGTATGCTTCTGCACCGTCGATCTGGAATGCCTAGGGACGCACAGCAGTTTCCCTCCAAAGCACAAGGGGGAGCCTATTTGAGCACTCGCGGGAACGTTTATTTCCCAAAATAATGTCTGAGGCATCGCACAAGTGGTTGTACTTCCGTACCTCCGCGATCAACGTTTGGTCGTGGTTATCGGAAAGGCATACCAAGGACCAATGGCAGCTGCTTTTTGTCTGCACAGGTTTGCCACCGTCCGACGCATAGTCAGGATTTTATTGATGTACGCGCCGAAGGTTGCAGAACCTCTGCTCAGGGGGCATGGTTGCGCACAGTGACAGATTTGATGGTTGCAGAGGCTATGCGTCAGAAGCATAAATTAGCCTTTAGGCTGCAAAACTCGCCTTTAAATGAATGAAAGTCAATGCAAAGTCCCCACCGGAATAGTGAAACCAGACGTGTTTCTGGCTGCAGTTGTTTAGGAACCAGAGTTTTTCCAATTTCACAATTAGGACCAGTTGTTGAAATGTGAGGATATTTTGTCCTCAATTGGTATTTTGCTAATTGTTATGTTTAATTCAATTCTATTCAGTTTATTTCTATAGCTCCAATTCACAACATGTCATCTCAAGGCTCTTTCCAGTTCACCAGATCATAAAGTTTTCTATCTAATTAAAACCAGCTGATTGCATCGACTCATTGACTCTTCAGCAATCCCTCACACTAAGCATGCTTGTAGCGACAGTGGAGAGGAAAAACTCCCTTTGAACAGGAAGAAACCTGTTAAAATGTGGGTGTGAGATGCTTAATTAAAAATGGTTTCCAAGCAATTTGGGAATAACTTAGCGAGTAATGAGGGAGATCAGGACTAAATCCACCCAGTTGCCTGGAAAGAAAAGGAAAACTTGGTCAAAAAGCCACAAGATCTATAGAAATAGATCAAATAGAAGGTATTAGAGTTTGCAGGGATAGAAAAGAGGTTACTTCCTGTTGCTTTGTACTCTGCTGGATAGACAAATGTTCTGCTCCGTTGTTCAGGTTCTTGGTTTCTAATATGGAAGCTTAAAGGTTAAAGACTTCCTGTTTGATTCCTGCCAAGCTGGGATTTAGATACGACCCAACATCTGCTCTTAGTTTCAGCACATTCAGCTCAGCGATGTGGATTAAACCAAACATTTTTGGCAGGTTTGAACTAGCCCTTTAATTGGACCAACATGTTTCTTCTGACTGGAAATGATGCTGCCAGACAGAGACCAGGCTTAAGTCTAACCTGAGTCCATGGAAGGAGGCGAGGATTAGGGTGATGGCCAGGAGGCCTTCCATCTTCAGAGTTGAGCTCATCATCAGCATACCAGAGAAAACCTGGAACAAGCAGCTCAGCTGTTATAGGGAGGCTTTGGCTGCTGGGAGCAGATAAAGATATTTCCACTGATTTATGGAGAAGGGTGGAAATAATATCTGAGTTTATTTAACTTTTAAATAAAGTGCTGAAAACAGGACTGATGACCCTCCGCTCACCCTGTTTTTATCTTCCTCTTTCCAAACAATCCTTCTGGTCTAAACATTCCAGAAATCTGACTAATTTTAGGCCTAATTGTGTTTTTAAGTCATTATAATCATTGTTTATTAAATGTGTTAAAGCTCTTTTAAAAGGTCTTTTTCGGGGCAGTTGCTGTATGTTTATGTTTTGTGTTTGATTGTTTTTATCTTCAGTTAAGCAGCAAGAATTAAAAAAATTCCGTGATTCATGAAACCCTCCCTGGGTTTTTTCACTCCTTGTTATAACATATCATTACGACGGAGTATTAGATTTTTTTATTTTATTTTGAGAATAAAGTTGTAATATTACGAGAATAAAGTCATAAAATTATGAGAATAAAGTCACAACAAGAATAGACGTAAAATTAAGAGAATAAAGTTGTAAATTTACGGGAATAAAGTCGTAAAATTCCGAGAATAAAGTCTTAATATTACGAGAATAAAGTCATAAAATTAAGAGAATAAAGTAGTAATACTATGACTTTATTCTCTTAATATTATGACTTTATTCTCATAAATTCACATAAAGTGAATAGTCGTAAAATTACGAGAATAAAGTCACAACAAGAATAGTCGTAATAATAAGAGAATATAGTCGTAAAACTAAGAGAATAAAGTCGAAACAAGAATAGTCGTAATACGAGAATAGAGTCGTAAAATTACGGGAATAGAGTCGTAAAATTATGAGAATAGAGTCGTAAAATTATGAGAATAGAGTCGTAAAATTATGAGAATAGAGTCGTAAAATTATGATAATAAAGTCTTAATATTACGAGAATAAAGTCTTAATATTACGAGAATAAAGTCAGAAAATTAAGAGAATAAAGTCGTAATATTACAAGAATAAAGTCGAAACAAGAATAGTCGTAATATTACGAGAATAGAGTCGTAAAATGAAGAGAATAAAGTCGTAATATTACAAAAATAAAGTTCCTTCAATCTGCACCGACTCTAAAGCTTGGCGGATGTTCGCCGTCGTTTGGCTTCTTGAACCAGAGACAAAAAAAATGCGGAGAAGACATTTTTGTTTTTCCATGAAGCTACAAGGATCGGATCTTCAACCTGCTCTTCCTATTGGTGCAGAATCATTTTGTGTCGATGTGGCATTTAAATATTTATGTATTTTGGACTCAACATTTTTAAAGTAATTATTTATATACTATATTTTTTATTTTTGTGAAAATAATACTTTTACTTACTAACACATTCTAGACATTCTGTGTAAGAGTTATAAAAAAAGAAGTTCTATCTGTGACCTTTGGGATCATATTGGGATCATAATCAGATGAAACTGGATTTTCTGCAGCAACTCTGTTATTATTATTATAACTGGAGTTTTTCTTTTAGAATAACAGAAGTACGGCAAATAATCCCGTGAATTATAGGTGTTTGTGTTGCTCTGCATGTCAGGGAGGGAACCTCTCATGTTTTCTAAGTCTTTGTCACATGAAGTACAGTGATCTGGTGTCATGGCTGCTCTGCTGATGTGGCTGAAACATGATACTGTAACTGTAAGCCTCTAGTTTTGAAAGGAAGCGGCATTCTTACATAATTTACCACCATAATGAGACACATGAAGCTGCATGCATAGTTCCATCAGATTACAGCCTTAAAACTTAATCTGTGTTTTAGTTGGTTCTCCTGTATGAGGCAACAGGCCCAGCTTCCCTCATGCTGAATAACATGCAACATTGATTTATTAAAAACATACAAACTGGAGTAAGATCTGTTCTGAATAATTACATGATGTTTTGTTGACGTTCCAATGCTTGAATCTGTCTCGGATGATTTCTGTCTGATTTCTAACGTGAAGCTCTGCTGGTTGTTCCAGGTGCCACCAAGGAGATCGGCTCTGCGCTGACCAGGATGTGTATGAGACACCGCAGCATCGAATCCAAGCTTAAACTGTTCACCACGTAAGACAATGAAACACTTTTGCTTTCCTCATCAGGACTTCACATTCGGTTTAGTCTCTGGGTTGATGCCAAACGCTGAACCATTACCCCTGCATGTTCTTCATAAACACAGGTTTTTCTGCTTCATTGAAAATTACGAATCTATTTGAGCTCAGACTTTCACAATAATGCTTAAAGTAAAAAATGCATATTTACCAGGAATGTTGGCTGCTCAGTAGGGCAGTGTGTAACACTGCAGCCTTGCAGCAAGAAGGTTACAGCTGTCTTTCTGCATGGAGTTTGCATGTTCTCCCTGTGCATGTCTGGGTTCTCTCCGGGTACTCCGGCTTCCTCCCACAGTCCATGGGGTCTGCTGGTTGGAT